GAATCATGTGAAATTGCTGATTTCAAATAATTTTAACATACAAAATAGCCATTTCCTATGACTCAGCCTGCCATTGGAGATAGATTTTTAAAACTAGGATTACAGTGTATATTTGCATCCATCCTAGTGGTTTTTCTTTAACCATGTAGCATTAACACTTCTGACAAGGAACATTGTCCTGGTTTGCTTTCTCCCACTGTGACAAAAAAAAGCAACATGGAGAGAAAAGGGTGTATTTGGATTACACTTCTATGTCATAGTCCATCAATGAGGAATATCAGGACAAAGATTCAAGGCAAGAGCTGATGCAGAATGGAGGAGTACTACTTACTGTCTTGTTCCCTGTGGCTTGCTCAGCCTGTTTTCTTATTGTCACCATGGCCCTTGCTGGTGGATGACACTGCCCACAGCGGGCTGGCTCCTCCCACGTCAGTCATTAATCAAGAAAAATATTCTATACCTGCTTACTGGCTTGCCCAATGAAGGCAAGTCTTCAACTGAGACTCCCTTTCCCAGATGACTCAAGCTTGTGTCAAGTTGACAAAACTTTACCAACACAAACATCATAATGAATTATAGTTAAACTAGGGCCAGTGAGAAGACTCAGCACTCACTTGCTGTCAATACTGACCAACTGAGTTCAATTCTTAGAACGCGCTTAATGAAACCAACTTCTGCAAGTTGTCCTACACACACACACATACACACAAGTAAATACACATGCATAAATGCACTCATACACACATGTACACATGCACATATACCTGTAAATGTAAAAAATCTTAAGCTAAACAAGCTTAACAAACAGTTTCTCACACTTCACCATTTCCCATGCTATAAATGTAAAATAAATGCTTAAGACTGCAATCTAAGGAGAAGTGTAAGCTTCTCATGTTTTCATTTTGTTGTGAAAGAAATCTACATCTCAAACACATTCCTGTCTTTGGGGCTTTGAAGCCAAACATGAAGAATGGACTCTCTAAAGCAAAGGTACATGGGACCCCTTACCATTTAATAAATTAAGGCTGGTTTCTGAATGATGCCTATACATCAAAGCCTGTAGCACACACACACTTGGCCTTAGTCTCCCACAAAGTTAGTTCTTGTCATCAACAGCTTTGTGCTGCCTAAATATTTACTTTTGCCATCACTAAGGGACATGTGGCCATCTATTTGTTGACATTCTTCCTGATTTAATAATGTCCTTTCACTTGGATACACCTACAATACCTCAGTGTTAACTGAGAGTTGTGTTAAGCTGAATGTCACTCCCCAGCTACCTGAATAGGATGATATGATGATGAAGAAGACCCAGGGATGCTGGGAGGGGGGATAATTGGGGGGAGGGTACAGTGAGAGTGACACAAAGCCAAGAGGAACTTGGGCTCAGAAAGCTGTTCTTGGGTCGCTCATCTGAAAGTCTGAAATAGAACAAAGACTGTTTCCTTTTGGAAAGCTTCAGCAGGTTACAACTGGGAAACTACAACTGAAGGCATCACATCCCAAGAAATCTTCCCTGGAGATGAGTCACTACCCCTACATATGCTTCTTCCATAGCTCACCAAGTGCACAACAAAAAACAACATAGAAAATACCCAGAAATGTCACGCTGGGGCCCCTCCAGTCCTGTTCATGTCCCAGATGGTGGAATGGGAGATCCAAGGTAGAATTCATAAGCTTGTGATATGTTTTGAAGTGACTAAAAAAAAAAAAATAAAGCATGAAATTCCTTCAAGAAATTACAGAGTATGAAAATCTCCAAAAAATTCTTCCGCCCTACACAGTGTTTAATTTTGGATGTAAAAGATTTACTTTGGGGTTAAATCCAACCTATATATCCCTATATACAGAAAGGTTTTAGCCAAATAGCCTGAAGAACCTGCAGAGGCCATAATATGTAAGTTCTTACTCTCTGAAAGTCTCTCTCCTGATTTTCCACACTCCAGGCAATACATCTAAATGTGCATTCATTGTGGTATCTTTATGTGTCTCATCCAGAGCTGGGAGCGAGTCCCAGCTGCTTGTAAATAAGGGACCTCAGCTGAGGCAGAGTGGAGATCCTCTTCACTTTGATCAAGTCTTCTACTTCCGCTGTCAGAGAACTGGGTGGGTTGCGAGGATTTCCCCTTTGTTTTACAGTGATGAACATAGGCACAGCCCACCTATGGCAACGAAAGGCAACAGAGCAGGTCACTGGGTCACACTGGGTAGATAGGTGCATGGATGGATACTCCTGTCAGACCGCCTCCAGGGAGCACACTGGAGTCATCCCCGGTGCTGGAGAGTCTGCTGTGGTTCATGGGGTGATTGCTCACATCGTTCCCTATTGGAGATTAAACGGAGCCAAAGATGAGGTGATTGCTACTACCATCCTTATTCCACAAAGAGTAATAACCATGGGATCCTACAAACCAGGCCTCCTCCACACGTCCAGCTGCCTCTCCTGCCCACCCTCTACTGGGTGCTTATTGCTAACGCTACTGTGAAATGTCAAATGCTATTTATGTTGACATCAAAAAAAAATCTTCTGAGAGAGAAAACAGCCCTTAAAAATGAACAGTCTCAGTAGTAAGTCTGAAACTTTGAGAGCCACTGTCGAATGCCCCTTTGCCCCTTTGGCGTGTAAGGAATCTGTGTGCAAGATTGAAAAGGAATGCCAGTCGTTAGAGGTGATGTGTCAATGTGCTAATAAAATTGAAACAACATTCCCAAGAAAGCCGGCTCATTCTAGGACCAGAGGAAGTCAGACAAATAAACACACAGTCGCTGTTGATATCCTAGAAAAGCAATAATAATATGCTGAATTCATTTTCTGCTTTTTTTTAAGAGATCTATCAAAACACAAAGTGTGTTTGTTCTATGGACAAATTTGTGACTGGATTCTTTCGGCCTTATGATCTGTAAACGATGGCATCACTCATTCCCACATGAGACCATGGCTGCTGCCATACCACAACAGAGCTGACTACAGAAACTGAGACATCTATGCTCTATCCCTTTGTAGAAAAAATTGGCAACTTCTGGGTTAATCTATGTGTTAGCCACTGAACATGCTATAAAAATATAAGGGAAGACGAAGCACTAACTTCTCCAGAGAAGAGAGGAGAGGCAGCCTGAAGGAATGCATCTTTCCTGCCAAGAGAAGCATCTTTGGATCTTCTCACCTACACCTCCAGCTAGGTGAGTAAAGATGATAGGGGGATAGTGCATGTGTGGGTGTGAGTCGAAACACAACTATCAGTGAGGGAGAAAAGTGGTGGCTGAACGATGGGGGTGGGGGTTATATAGGGAGGATAGAATTGCAGGAATGAACTTTACTCGCAGAGTACCAGTGGAGCAGACTACCCCTGCCCTCCCCCTCCTCTCTGCTCCTCTTTGCCTATCAGGCGCCAGACCAGTACTAGCTGCACAAGTGACCCTGTTGGATGCTTCCAAAATCAAGAAAAGTACGAACGAAGTAACATCCTAACCTGAATGATAGGAAAATGGTGGCCACTTGAGTTGAATCAGTGCAAGGGTGTGGAGTACAGAGAAAACCTAGGTAAACAAACCAGGGGGAAACAGAAAAACACAGTGCAGAAAGGTTGTGAAGGTTTATGCAAGGAAAGAAGTGAGATCCTGGGTTCTCCTCTGAGCAGGAGGCTGGCAGAAAGATTCTGTTTTGTTGTTTCCAAGGATCCTGTGCTTTTCCAGGTTGGCTGGCTCCTGCCAAAGTTTGAAGTCAGAAGAATAAAACTGATGTATATCCAGGAGAAAGACCTGAAAAGACACAAGACAGTCAGGAGCCAGGTAGTGGCCTGGGACTCGGTCAAAAGTTAGACCTGCCTTGACTTTGTGACATCTGGTCACTCGGATGCATTATAACCAAAAGCCCATATCAGCAGTGTGTAAGGTGGCCCCCATGGAAACCATGGCAAATGGTCAAAGTGCCAACAAGAAATGGCCATAAGCAGCTGAGTGCCCAGGTACTCTGACTATATTTCCAGAATGCCCCATGGCTGTCTGTCCTTAAACCCCTATTTCACATTTTTTGGGGACCACCATCAGAGCCCTCAGGGAGTACCTGAGAAACCTCCATTTGTCATATGTCTTGAGCTTTTAAACAAGCTTAATGTTCTCATGACTATATTTACATACAAGACACTGGAAAACGTCATGTTTCATAGAAGATGATGAACCTGGAAATCAAGAGAACAATTAAGCTGTAGAGAAGGAAGCACTGCTTGTTTCTGACGCTGACTGGCTGTTTACAATAGTGCTCTCGTTCAGAAAACAAAATCAAGGAATTACTTTGTCAACATGTGCAAATTTAGCCTCTGGGGACTTGGGGAGGGGCCATGGGAGCATTTCTGTAATTACAAGTCGCACAGAGGTACTTCAAGCTTGGCAGTGAAGGGGATGTGCAAATTGAAAACGATGTAGTGACAGTTGGTGGCAGAAATCCTAGGAAAGACAGAGCCTGCCAGGTACCAATCCGTGCGTGACAAAATCCTCCTTGCAAGTGCATGATGACTCGAACTTCCTCCGATGACTGAATGCTAGCTCCAGGAGATGAGCCTTTGGAGTTCTTATAGATGGACCTGCCATCACATGCAGTCCCAGGTGACACAAGCAACCTGCTTCCTTCTCTTCTCTCTCCTATCAAAGACTCACAGGGATTTTCTTTTGAAAACGTATATGATTAGAGCATCTAAGAACCAAACTCTTAGTTTTGAATTTCCATCATTATGAAAATGAAACAAATAAACCATCTTAAAGGCTAGCAACAGCTCTGGCTACTCATAAGAAAGGCACGTTCTCCTTTCTGTAGGCCCTAGATTCTCATCATGGATTGTGTATTTTTGCTTGGGCCTTTGTAACTAAAAGGAGAGAGAAATGTTTCATTTCCTATGGTGGGAGTCTGTACCAGATATGGCTGGGCAGCCACTCTTTATCCTGGGAATTAGGATCTGCTCTGCCAGGCTCCAGTTTCCAAAGTCTCCTCTCTGGGCATTTTGGGTAGCCATGCCTGTAGAAGCCCAGCCAGACTCTAATTGCATGGTCACATAGTGAGTCCCCTCTGTGTTGTTCCCTTTTTATTGCTCTTAGTCACACAGTGCCCAACCTAATGACCTCAAACTCTCTGAGTAACCTTCTGGAAAGACCATCTCTAAGGCTATAACCTAAGGTACCAAGGTCCAGAACATCAGTGTATCTGTTTCTCTCTCCTGCCTCTCTTGTCTGCTCATGGGGAGGCATGCACTTTAACCCATAAAAACATTTACTTTAGTGTTTTTGTTTTGTAGACAAGATGTAGTCTCCTCTAGTCCATGTTCACCTCAAACTTACTAGATGGCCAGGGATGACTTTGAACTTTAAACCCCCTGCTCCTGTCTCCTGAGTGCTGGAAGTGCACGTATGTGCTCCCATGCCTGGTCTCTGAGGGACTGAGGATAGAGCCCAAAACTTTGTGAGCGTTAGGTAAGCACTCTACCAACTGACTACACCCCCCAATTCCTGGCATGTATTTTACACTTGGCATTACACTAGGCATCAAGGTTGTCATTTGCTACTCATAAAATTCAGAATAGAAAGGGTTCGTCCTTTAACACTTGAAACACTTAAAGAATTGCTTTGCCGAAATTAGGACAAGGGACCTGAAGGGTGAGAGCCACTTCTATTACCATTTACAGTGGAGGGATCTAGACAGTCCATGGGTCAAGATGTGCCCTGGAAGTAACCGGAATGAGGCTGGGTAGCACTGATGGGCGCCTATCAGGGGAGAGCAGCTGCTGAAGGCCAGCGGGCGAAGGCGGGGCTCTTGGCAGAGGGAGAGAGAGGAGACTGTGGAGCATATGTCTGTGAGCTGAAGTCGTGAAAAGCGAGAGGGAGAGCTCCTCGTTCCCACTGACTGCTCTCTTATCTCCCACAGTCAGTCTTGTTTCCTGGCTACTCCCTCCCACTCCCTTCCTCCCCTCTTTTTATAACATTTAGAGCGATTTAGTTTTGCATTTTCTTATTTTTCAGCAATATATTCGTGAGCAAGGCCAAAAGCCTGTTTCTAGAATAGTGGACTTCCCATTTCTTTTCTCTAGACACCACCTTATAACGCACCCACCCCAACAACCCCCTGCCCCTCTTTCAGGGAACTGGGCACTTCTTTCCACTACATTCCACTGTCTTCTGTGGCACAGGCATTAAGAGCCCAAGTTCTGGATTCAGATACCACATAGAACCCAAGCCACATTACAGGAGCAGTATGTTTGCAGTGCCCAGTTCTCTACTACATGATCTACAGTAGGGGTCAGCAGGTCAGTTCACGGGCAAGGCTGAACAGAGTTCCTGGCATATAACCGAGCCTAATCTCTATTGGTTATAAAAATACTTGACATATGCATCATCTATATTCCATCCTTTTCAGTTTGAGAATCATTTTTCTGAGTGCCTAACAAAACACATCAATCAAGCATGCATACAATGAATGCCCATGGAATAAATGAATGTATGCATGAATGAATCCATGCATGAATGGATGGATGGATAGATGGATGGATTTCCTATGGTTTGAATGTGAAAGTTTCCCTCATAAGCTCATGTGCTATCTTGGCCCTTACCTGATGGTGCTATTTTGGGAGATGTTAGAAATTTTAGGAGACAGGAGCCTAGTTGAAGGAAGTAAGTCACTGGTGTTATGTCCTCAACTCTGGTCCCTTCTGCCACCCTTTGATACCCTCTGTCACTCTCTGGCTGTGTTGAAGTAGGAATCTTCTGCCACAGGTCCTACCTTGTCTTAGGCTCCAGGTGACAGCCAACTCACTAGCAGTTGAACCTCTATAGCCATGAGCTTAACTCTTTCCCCACTCATGTCTGCTATGTTATCACATTGGTATAAGTGACTTTAAGACAAAAGGAATATTTGCACAGCACATGAAGTTCCACAGATGTGGTTTTTGTCTCAAGTAGAGAATAACTGAGAAAGAAGAAAGTAAGAGTCTAGGGAGATGGCTCAGCCTGCGAAGGTGGTTGTCATGATAACCAGTGACTCCGAATCCATAGAAAGATGGAAGAGGAAAACTGACTCCACAGAGTTTTCCTCTGCATTCATGCCATGACATAAGCTCATGCATTCACACACACACACAAACACACACACACAAACGCACACACAAATCCAGTTCTTAAAAGAGCTATGAGTCTTTTTCCATAGAAGAAGATAATTCTAAAAAAAAAAGAAAACTGAAACGTAGAAGAAATGCATTTCCCTCCCTAAAATTTTTAACATCTACAAGACAGTTAAATAGAAAAGAACGTAATGTTACCTGGTATGGTAATTATAAAAATATGTATAAATCAAACAAAACTTTGTGGAGAATAGCTAAATAAATACTAAATGGAAACTTATAGCAACCAATGTTAGAAACTGGCACAGAGCATCAAGGGAAAACTAGTTTCTTCTGCTCAAGACAAAAATCTCTGGCCTTGATGGGGAACTAACACTGGGCTACAACATCATCTAGCCAAGGGATCACACCCTTGGGAAGCTGACAACCTTAAGCTCTTTAGTGAGATCCTGTACTTTTCTTTCCCAGAATTCCTGCTCTAGTACAGTCCTTAAGAACCAAGCCTCCATGAGATTCACTGAGATCTGTCTACCTCTCTGTGTCCCCCAGAAGGCACAACTTTGGTTGTGTCCTTTTATCTTTCTCTTTCTTTCTGATGCTGTCCAGAACTGAAGAATGCTTTTTCTGGTAGTCAGGGCTTCCCTTAATCTTTCTCTAAAGACCCCTGCCTGCCATATGGCTGCCCTCTATACAGGTTTATCTCAAATGGCATGGCCATTTTTCCCCTTCTCATCTCCATTATCCTCCTCTGGGTACCTGCTAAGATTTATAACTTCTATGCCCTGGAATATTTCCATTAAACTCTAATAAGATCCTCCTTGAGCTTCCATTTGAATTCCGTTTAAAATTCTTTTATTATGGGACTAAGAAGCTCAAATGGGGATCCCAATCTCCCCGTTATCATCTGGCAACCATGAAGGGACTCCCCAAATTTTCTGGTAACAAGAGTCTTACGTTAGTTTGCAGTTTTATCTCAAGACCTTAAAAAGGAGAGAAGGAAATAAACACAAGAGAATGAGAAGGAAAAGTGAGAGGACAAAGATACTAAAGAGAAAAGCAGAAACTGAAGGCGTTGAAAACAAAGCAATAGAGAAAACGAATGAAACAAAAACAGCACTTTGAAAACTGCTTCTTATGGCCTCAGTGGAAAATGTTTCTGGCAGCATCATGTGTTTAGGTACTGGTCCTCAGTTTATAGCACTGTTTGGGGAGGTTACAGAACCTTTGGGGTCTGTGGTCTACCCACCAACAGCAAGTCACTGCTGGCCCAGAATACACCTCCTGATCAGCCTTGTGAAAAGCAACTCTACAGGCTCCTACTGTCACAAAGCATCTTCTCTGGCCACCAATGCTCCTCACCAGCAGGGCTGAATCCTTGAATCTGTGAGTCAGAAGAAACTCTGCTCGCTCGTCTGTCAGATATTTTGTCACCAAGACAAAAAGGTAACTGATACCGTCAGTAAAACTCAACAATATTTCATAAGACAAAAGAGAATTCACTGGTGAATGGAAGAGTGCATGACTCCAGGGAGAGAAGATAATCAAGAAGTCGTGAGCAATCATACACAGCAGTGTGACCGTTGCCTTAGTGACTTTTCTGTGACTGTGATAAAAATAAAAAAATAAAAAAAGACTCAAAGGAACT